AATGAAAAAAAGAAAAAAAAAAAAAAAGAAGAAACAAAAAAGCTCCTCCTATCCTACATTCGCGTGTTACCTTCCTCTGCTACAACCAAACATGCTGCGCCCGAAAAGAACAAGCCCTTATGCTCTCTCTCAACTATACCCACCCATTGCTAAAAAAACAACTTGCACTTTCACTTTCATCCCTCTTCTTCCATTAAATTAAAAATCGAACCAAATATCCGATTTTTAAAACACCTTCAACAACCGAGGCTTCCCAAAATCCTGCCCAATCTATCAAGCACCACTCGAGGCTCTGCATACGACCCGTCGAGGTGTATTGCGTGGTATTCCAACCCTCTCCACCGAGCAATCAGCTCAAAGTGGGGCCTATTGTACTCACTACTAATTATCTCCAAAATCACTGCCTTCGGGCCTGCCGACACTATATGGGTCAAGCCCGCCCCATGCGCCCCAATAATAACATCAGCATCCTGTATGGCCCGAACCTGCTCTTTCATCGCCATATGGGCAAAAAGCCCATTTACGACGTTTAGTTTACACATTGAATAATTCGAGGCCCAATTATTTACACTGTCAAACACTTCTTGCTCATTGCTCAGCCTCGTCTGGACCTTACCACCGTGACGTGGGTGGGCGAGATAATCCTCCCGCCGCACAAAGAGGATGTTGCGGTCTGCCGAGGGCATTTTGGGAATTTGGTGCCGGTCGACTGGGAATCCAAAGGCAGCCCGTATCATCTCGCCAAATTCTGTGAGTCGGGCAGTTTTCTGAGAATCGGGCTTTTGCCATAGCTCATGGGCCGAGGCTCCGTGGCAGTTTATGTTCTCGGTGAGCCCCTTGAATAGAGGGGTCTCATATCCGAGTGGGACCAGAATGGCGTGGCGAAAACAGACAGGCTGGGTGAAGTTCTTGGCGTATTTAAGGGATGAGTATAATGCGGTCCATGTTTCTTCTAGTTGAGTCTGATAATGTGCCATAGAATGCATATATGTGGTTAGTATATGTTTAAACGAAATGAAAAAGGAACGGGAAAAGAAATTTGGATTTGTGCTCCAGAAGTGCATGGATCGTAATTTGGCTAAAACGGCAATAGAAGAAAGTGAAAATAAATTCCTGTGTAAAGAGTGTGTAAAGAGAACGGTGTGAGGAAAAGTTCCATTTGAAGTAGCAGAAATGTTATCACATATTTAAATTCTGCATGAAATCTTATTACACTTCAGCAGATTGTGGCTATGATTGGTAAAACTAGCTGATAGCTGATAAGCTAGTTTATAACTTATAAGTGATTTTCGAGCTTATAGCTTGTAGCTTATGACTTAAAGCTGAAAAGCTAGCTTATATGATATAAGTGTTTGGTAAACTAGCTGAAATAAAAATTTCAACGAGCTTATTTGAAAAGCTACTCAAAGAAGCTTATGAGATAAGCTCGAGTTTTTTTAAAACAAACTCGCCTATCAAGCGAAGCTTATAATCTAACCAATTAAGCTATAAGCTAGCTTATTTGGTTATCAAACATAGCCCGAATTATGGAGATATTTCATGTCTGCAAAGGCTAAGGAAAGGCAATTCTAAACATCTAGAAGAGAATTTTCACCCTTAGAAGCGGGGACCGCTTATCTTTTCAATAGAAGCCAAGAATCACTCTTTCTTATTTTTTACAAAAGATACTCCCTTTACTTAACTACGTCAAGATCTCAAATTCTCCTTTTATGCTTGTCCCAGAAATTTAATAGGTAATGCTGGTAAAGACATGCATTAGGCTACAAAATTTAAAATCAAGTGCAGGAAGAAGCATACCTCACAGTGGCCGTCCACAAAAACCAAATGTGGCCGATTGGGCAAGCCAGTGACTCTGGAAGCTACATATGTACTGTACCAATCTGTAACCGTGTGGAACATGTTTGCATATTCGAAACGTGTTACTAAAAGAACTGGCTCCTCTATCCACTGAAATTATATCATCATATTTTGAATAATGTTAAACCAAGTCCAATGAGAGGATTATCGCAAAGAAAGATGCATTCGGAATTCAGATTTAATGCCAACACACCAGCAAAAGTTAATTTTAGCGAATCAATACATGATGCAAATAAAGATTTTGAGTTATGTTCGTTATTGCAGAAAAGTAATTCATGCTGCAATGATAGAGATTCAAGTATGTCTTAAAGATGAAGTATGATTTAAATCGATAATATTTTACAACATTTGATTTTGCAGACTCAATTGCATGACATCGAGATTCTAACTACGCTACTTAACATTCTCACCACGACATGTATCATTCATAATTAATTCAAACTACACAAATCTTGTTGCCCACATGAAATGCATCCGAAAGCTAAAAATGCCGTATCTAAAAGTTTATTCTACCTTTACAAACAAACAAGAGTAGGGAACAAAACTCAAGTGCAACCAGATCACGACGTATTTGTAAACAATTAGAAACCGACTATAATTAAACCGACTATAATCGCTTAAAAAAAAAAATTGGACTTCAGAATTGATCTCTCGAACGCATGCACAGTTAAAGGTATTTCGACTTGAAACCACTTAATCCCAGATCTTGTTATACAAAATAAAAATCCAAACAAGGCCGATAAGTAAAATTGAGCACTTGAGCAATTTGCAGAAATCTCCAGATTACAAGGGTAATCTATTTAATGTTATCAAAAACCTTCCAATATTAAAGCAGGATTCGAACTCCCTTTATCCAACAAGCTTTGCTATTCTTTAAATCTGAGCCTAAATGCATTAGTTGCAACAACTGCCCAAAAAATACCATGACATAATTAGTGAGCACAAGGAAAAGTGCAGAAAGAGAGAGAATCCCATCTGATCCCCATCACTAACCGATCAACTCAACCAAAAATCAAAACTTTATTGATCTAAGAAGAAGCCCAGATGCCAAAACAAACCTCAGAGCAAACGAATTCAGAGGCATCAGCTAACCGAATCGAATCGATCAGCGCACGCATCGTATGCCTGCCAATAGCACCTTCTGGCACATATCTATCCAAGAAACCCTTGTCCACCATCTTCTCCCCAGCTCTCGATCTGTCACTGGTCTCAATTTCAAAAGCCCCACTAGCGAAATTCGGCAATTCTTCATCTTCCCCTCTCCCAATCACGCTCTCCAAATTTTCCCCACCTTTGGACATGAAAATCCTCTCGGGGGTCATCCGAATCCTGCCCCCTTCACATATCGAGCTCCGGAGTGTCTCGCTGTAGAAACACCTGAACCAGCCGCCGCTGGCTGAGGAGAATTTCCGGTGGGGATCTGCGGTGGGTCTCAAAGGATCGACGCGCTCGGAGAACCCGTTCCCGAAATACGCCTCGCACGATCGGGGAGGCGCTTTGTGCCCGTCACGCGACCAGGGCAGGTAGGATGGCAGTATGGGCCAGGGTTTAACGGAGAGAGGATGGTGCGGCGGCGAGCGATCTTCCGGCGGGGTCCGGTCTTGGGACGGCGGCTGGCGGTGGTTGTCGGGGTGGGAAGAGAAGTAGAGGTAGAGAGAGATGGAGTTGAGAGTGAAGAGGGAGAGAAGGATTTTCAGCGCTTTACTGTTCATGTTCTACGCTTCTCTCTCTACGGCGCCTGGTTTTGCGCTTTTGTTTATGGGGGTGGTTTATTATTATTTTCTTTTCCGTTTTTCCTGTTATTTGGAATGAGATGGAAATAGAATGTGTAGGTAGGAGAAAATTTTAAATTTGGTCCCGTTAGATTCAAGTGATCGTAATTTTAGTCCCACAGGTGCATATTTGATCCTTAACTATTTTTCGTTGCAATTTTGGTCCCAAATCTAACAGAGTGGACGGAAATCGTTAACAACTAAAATTGGAGGGAGAATAACATCTGAAATGCGCGGGAAATTGTAGCAGCACCCTCACAGGCACAGAATGGCATAAAATGCCTTATTCTTCTTCAGATTTCCATTCATCTTCACAAATTTAGAAAAAAAAAAAAATAGTTCTTCAAGTAGTTCAAGAAGAGAGGCCGTTGTTTTTTGTACATGCAAAAAGGTTGCTCGTTTACAAACCTCATGGACCCCTGCCAACCCAGGAAGGAAGTACTTCGATTGTGCCGAAAATGGTTGTCGCTTTTGAAATTGGTTGGACCCAAGATTGAAACAAATAATCCCCAGTTTGTTGCGTAGAATAAACCAGTTAGAAGCTGAAATAAATCGCCAAAATGTTGGATCTACAGCTGAACTTGAGGAGAAGGAGAAGAACCTGAAAAAGATGAAGAAACTGGAAAAACAAAATGCACAACTGAAGAAGAAAAAGAACAGAATTTTGCTGCTTTTACTTGTAATCTATATGGTGACCTTGTTTATCATGAAATAAGCATAGCATAATATGTATCCAAGTAGTTTTCATGTCTTATGTATTTGGTGTAATGATGTATTGTTGCTAATCTCAATGAAAATTACACCATTTTGTTGCTAATTTGCCATGAAACAAACACAGCTGCAGAACACAACTACAACTGCAGAATTGTACATGAAAACTGCACAACTTCAATTGCAATTAGTTAAACCATTGAATTACACCAACTCTGCCATGAAACAAACACAATTGCAGAACTTCAATTGCAAACACAAAACTTCAAGCATGAAACCTCCATATAAACACAGAACTTAAATCCACTTTCAATTAAGCACCAGTCATCATGAAAATACACTTTCAGTCATAAAACACTACATTTCAACAAGAGATCTACCTTCAGTCATACAAAAACCAATCACATAATATAATTCAGAGTTCCCAATAGAAGACAGCTTTCTGAGTTCACATAATATAAGCATGTTCACAAAACCCCCCTTTTCAAAAATCACTCACAATCAGGGGACTAACTATCATTTCAAAAGGTTGAGTTCAAAAGGTGCACAATTTGCAGCATGAGACTTATATCAAATAACTTGAAGAAGCAGCTCATCTAGTGCTTTTTCTGGCCTGTTTAAATTAGAGATTGATATCAGAACTTACAAAAAAGTAAAACACATAAAAAAAAGTAAAACACATAAAAAAAATCATAAAGAACTTACAATTAGTTTTCTTTGAGGAAAATCATCATTCTAAGTTTGGCTATTGTCATTCTGAGGCTGGCTATCATCATTCTGAGTTAATGATGGAACATCATCACCTTGAGTCATCTCTTCATGTTGTGTCTCCATCTCAAAGGCATCATCTGCAATCCCACTTTCAGCTAACGTTTTCCACTCACAACCTCTTTGATTGTGTCCCTTTCGATGACAAAACTTGCAGGACACCATATACTTTTGCCTTGGAAGTTTTTGTGCACCTTTCATTCTTTTTTTCCACTGCTACTCTCACCTGATCCCATTCTTCTTAGTTTGGCTGGCCTCCCCCTTTTTTTTTCCCAAAATTTAGAGGAAGTGGAGGTATGTAACCTATCCTATCCGATAGCCCTGGCCCAGTTATAGGACTGATAGCAAGTTCATACACTTTAGCATAAGTGTCACAGGAATAACATTCATCCACAAAGTCCTCAGGTTGATGCCCTTGTGCTAATAAGGCACTGCATGCATGTTTGCATGGAATTCCTGTCAAGTCCCACTTTCTACAGCTACAACTTCTTTCCTTCAGGTTCACAGTATGAAAAGCACCATCATTACAATCTAGTTGGTACAACCAGTCATTGGATTTGATTGGGATGCATTCAGAGGCTTTTTCTTCATGGCTGTCTACAATTTTCTTGATCTTGGGGCAGATTTTCCTCCCTTCCCACTTTCTCTCGACCATATCCCTGTTCTCTTGGAGCCTAGTCATCAGATACTGTCTCACCCATTCCAACATAGTCAAGATTGGCTTCTCTCTAGCCTCTAAGATGGAGCTGTTGAAAACCTCACAAATGTTGTTCAACAATAGGTCTGACTTAGGAGTTGTTTTGAAGTGGGAATTTGACCATTGGTTTGCCGGTTTATCCTCAAGCCAAACTCTGCAATCCTTGTCAAGTTCACCAATTCTGTTCATTGACTGTTTGAATTCTGAAAGAGTGGTGGCTTTAGCTGCTTTCCATAAAGCCCTTTTGAAGGCTAGACCTCTGAACCGGCTGTTTGCATATTGGCATGTAAATGCCTCACACAAAATCTGTTATGAGCACCAGGAAGCACATCTTCAAATGCTGGAATCAGGCCCTTTTGCTTGTCAGACATGAAAGTCCATTCATCATCATCATTCTGAATCATCAAATCTTCCTTCAGATTTTTAAGAAACCAAGTCCATGTCTCTTTGGTTTCACCACCCACCACTGCATATGCTATAGGGTATGGATTATTTGATGGATCCACCCCTACAACTGTGAGTAGAATGCCTCCATGCTTGGCCTTTAAGTGGCAGCCATCAACTCCCACTAAAAATTTCTACAACAAGCAAGAAAACCATGTTTTAATGGGGCCAAACAAATGTAGATCTTGTCAAATTTTTTTTGTCCATCAGGTCCTGGAGCATCTGTTAGTGACAATAAAATTGTGCTGCCTGGATTTTTCTGCCTCAGAGCATATGCATAGTCCACATCTTAGCATATTGGTCAGAATGTGATCCCTCAATTGATTTCAAAGCCAATTGTTTGGCTCTGAAAGCTTTGTCCTTGGACACATGACACTTCAGCCTTTTCACTGCATCTCCTCTGAATCCTTTAAGGGATCTCTTTCGATCAGATCTGAAATCTTCTACATACCTCTCTGCAATTCATCTAGTTATGGCATTTTTTACTTTCCATGTCCTTGCACAAGAGTGCTTGTGATTGTAGGCTCTAATTTGGTAGGCCTCTTCATTACACACTTTAAGTGCATTTATGGCCCACTAACAACCATTTGGTTCTTCTTCACACCTAGCATATATTCTCCCCTTATCATTTTTAGTGATTCTAAGGCTTCTATGAGTCTGAATACCATGAGAAGAAATTGCTTCCTTGACCAAACTCTTGGATGGAAACTTCATTCCAATTGTAAATTGAGGATTCAAAACATCCTCATCCTTAAACTTACGACTCTCATTCTCCTCTTCATCTTCATCTGAACACTTCAAACTAGAAAAATCATTATCACTACTATCTTCAGACACAAACATACTACTGTCAGTGGACAAGTCAAACTCTACCCCTTTAACATGTTTCTCCACAAGATCCTGCTCATCCACATACTCAACAATAACTCTTTCCAGCTCAGCATCATCAGAACCACTATCTACCCCTTCTCTATTTACCCCTTCTTTTCTGCCTTCAACATTTTCATCCACATCCAAATCAACATGTTCTTCAAACAGAACATCATCATCAGAGCCACTATCAACATCCATTGTGGAAAAAATCATCATTCTCAGATGAGGCTTCATAACCCTCACCTACCTCATTAACACCCTCATATGGCTCATGATCTTTTGAACTCTTATCAAACTCATTCATAATCACACCAACCTCCCCATTGCCATCCTTCCCCAGTTCCCTTTCTTCCTTTTCAGCCACTAGATATAATTTCACTTCTCTGTTATGATGCTTATCAACAGCCAACAGAAGATCAGTCTTCATAATCATCTATCTGTATTGATGGTCCAAGTCAAGTCTATAAATTTTTTTCACCCCACAGTAGCCTAACTCTTCACAGAACCTATAGGCATCTCTCATGTTTACTTTGTACTTATCCACATAATCAAATGCACTAATCTCTCCCCCAACATACCTCTGCTGCCCTTCAAATATATCATCAGCCAAAATCCCATCATGATGTATTTTGAAAGTAAGGTAAAATGGCTTAGTGCCACCTGCATTTGCATAAAATGGAACATTTGGTCACATATACAGAAAAAAATTCAGAAAAAAACCCTAATTACGGAGCATGGAGGACCACATACCTAACAAAATCCCTAATTTAAAAAATTTCAGAAAACCCTAATTACCCAACAAAGTCCTAATTTTTATCACAAAATTTTTTAAAAAAAACCCTAATTACCCAGCTTCTAACTGAATACCCGAAAAATTCCTATTTTGTATCACAAGATTCAGAAAAACCCCAATTACCACTACCTGACAGAATCCCTAATTTTTCGAACAAATTCCTAATTACCATAAAAAAAATTCGAAAAAAATGAACGCATCACACAAAGGTACAATACAAAAGAAATTCGAACAAAACATACAATCAGAAAAATTAAAAATAAAGCTCTAGGGTTCAGGGATAAATACCGTATGTCGGATTTGGATTTTCGACAGCATCACTTAGCAGAGCATCGGATTTTCAACTCAATACCGTCGGGTATTCAAAGCAAATTTGAATTTGTAGTAGATTATAGATGTTAATTTTGATTTATGGATTGAATATTGAACCAAATTTTTGAGAATTAGGTTTGAGAGAAATGAATTGGGTTTAAATCTCGCTCTCTAAATACAAATCGACAAATTTAAATCTGACAAAATAACGACCAAACGCCCACGTGCCCCCCGCGTGACATTTCCGTCCACTCTGTTAGATTTGGGACCAAAATTACAACGAAAAATAGTTAAGGACCAAATATGCGCCTGGTGGGACTAAAATTGCGGTCACTTAAATCTAACGGGACCAAATTTTCAATTTTCTCTGTAGGTAGACATGGTCACGGGCCAGCATGGCCTGTCGTCCCGGTCCCGACTCGGCCCCGACCCGGTCCGCAACCGGCCCGTAGGTTGCCGGTTTAGGGAACTGGCACCGTAGTTTTACGGGTCGTTTTTGGGTCTTTTTTTTTTGTTCCCGGTGATCTCGGGCCGGGTCGGACAGTGCTGGTTCAATGGGCTCGGCCCTTGGTTTTTGGCGGGTCTGTCATGGGTCACTCATGGGAGGCCCGCCGGCCCGGCGGGTCGAGCCGGGCTGTGACCCGGCATGTTGACTGGTCATGTATATGTGTTGGGCGATTCTACGGTCTCGTTACGGAACTAATCCGTCGGAGTTTGTAACTGTTAGAGTAACTATCCACGACGGTTATATGATGATCTAACGGTTACAAATTTCAACGGAATGATTCCGTAGTGGAACTATAGCATTTCCAGAATGTGTAAATTCAATTTTAGGGGATAACGATGCATTTGAGTCAACATCTTTAGAGATGAATTTCTCAATGCTCAAAAGCTGTAGGGCAGTTTATTCTACTTGTGAGAGAAATCAGATGAAAATCTGGATAGTCAAAATCCAGATCATTATAGAATGAGCAAAGACTTTGAACATACAATTCTACATTTGATAAAAATCTAAAATTTTACTTGAGGAAAAATTTTAGATTACTAAAATGTAACCAATTGGATATAAATTAATTTCACTTCGTCTAGTTAGATAAAGTTCAATTATTGAAATTGTGATTGGATATAGAAAAAGTTTTACTATTATCAATCCACATATTTATATATCTCTATTATCTCTCTTCTCTTATATATAAGAAAAAAGTATGAGCATTCTAGAGCTTGACATGTGGCATTTCTTTGAATTACCAAATTGCCCTGCAATTGTATTTATTCATTCATTTTGTTTTGTTTTCTCTTACCAAATTTCGGTGGCCGCTGCTGGTGATGGAGCTTTCAAGTCGGAGATGCGGTTGCTTCTTTTTTCGATCCCTGTAGTTGTGTTTTTGAAGAGATGACGATGGACTCCAACGGTTGCGCGTCCGTCCCCTCTCCCTTTCTAGCGGGGTGTCCGAGTTGGAGATGACGAAGGCGAGGCCCGAAGCTCGGGCTCGTGGTTATGTCGGTAGTATATGTTCCATGTATAGACAATATATTTTCAGTATATGTTTTCGTTGACCGAAGGATTCTGCTCGTGAGTGGCTAAGGAGGTCTGAGAGCAGAGCGACGCCCATTCCCCGAACTCGCGACATCCCATCGCTTGTGGCTCTTGCACATGTGACGACGCATCTCGCAATGATGAGACCTCGAATTGATTACTCGTCCAACGATGGAGGCGAGATCTCGCCGTTCAATCTGTGAGAAGTGATGCAACTCCTTGATTGAGTTCGGAAGGTGAGCGAAACCAGCCCTAGCAGAGTGAGCTTCTCTCGACTTAACGATAAGATCCGCCCAACGTTGTTGTGTTTTTTCTTTTTCTTTTTCCTTTTGCTTGCATCCTCTCAACGCTTCATTTGGTTGGGTTTTTGTTTTCTTTTTTCTTTTTTCTTTTACGTCATTTTCTTTGATGTGTATAATGCGTTATCAGTATATCTTCGGTTATATAATGACTCGAATGGTTTATATGATCTAAAAAAAAGAATGAATGACTAGACTGGTTTATATCACTATTCAGTATATCTTTTGTATATAATGCGTTTTAGTTCTTTTGTTTTCTCATGTCCATATAATGATAGCTGAAAATTTGTATACTGATTTTCGAACCATTCGCCATCATAATGAATGAAAACCATCATTTCAGACTCCATCTTATTAGAAAAGAAAAAAAAAAAAAGAAAAACACAAAGAAAAAACATTACAACAAACAAAAATAATAAAAATAAAAACGCAGACTAACAGATAGACATACTATAAATAATGAATGGTATTAAACAAGATCACATATATTTTCTGTATATAAATCATATATAACAGTGATCTTAATCGTACCTCGGTGTAGCACCTCAATCCAAATCTGTCTTCTCGTTTTCAAATCAAATTATGCATATTTTTAGAAAACTACTAATGTCGTGATTTTATATCTATTTACCATGTAATACAATTTTTTATTTAAGCATGCATCTCGTCAATTACGGAGGATCTGGTGGGTTTTGGCATAGGAAGTCAATATTACTTGATCCGTTTCCATATATCGTACATATAAATATTTATTTGAAGTTAGGTATAATTGCAATCAAGTTTTCTATTTTGAATACATGCAAATAAGTTGAAATCACTATGACACACATGTAAATTGACTTTTTTTCCCCTCAATTTTGGCGGGCCAGCCTGCCTTAGCCCATGGCAGGGTTGGGCTGGGTTGGCCATTTAGAGGCCCACCCCGCCCCGCCAACGACGGGTTTTGGCTGGTTGTTGGCATGTCCTCTCTTATTTCGCCGACTTGTTTTGACATGTTTACATAAAAGAATGCGCTAAGTTCTCATACAAATAAATTACAATAAATGGAAAACACAAAATTTAGAGCACCAAAGAGCAACCACAAATCATAAAAAGATAGTAAAAAAAACAAATAAATAAATATAAAAATTACATCCTAGTTAATGTCCTCATATAGACCAGCCATCATGTCTGTATAAAATCCCATCAACCCAAAATCCTACCGGCAAAAGAATGGTAAACTAGGTACAAATTAAAAGATGAATCCGATGGCACAAACAAATACAAGACGTAGGGGCATGCATTTTAGTTATATATACCTTCGGACGGATCCTATATATATCACCACACGGAGGCGGCAAGCATAAGCACAGCGGCGAGGGCCGTGTTGGTGACAAGTGTCGGTTGTCCACTGTGTTGGGAGGGAGTGGGAGCCATGGCAGGAGGAGGCAGCGGAGGAGGGGTGGGCCGCCTCACGACCACTGACGGCAGAGGAGGCTCGGTCACATTATCATCCGTGAGGACAGGGATTGGAGCCTCGGCTGGTGGACGGCTTTGTGTTGTCATCAGTTGCATAAGACCACCCACTTGTACTGATTGCATGTACAATGGCCTGTCGCTGGCGCTGTACTTTAAACACCGATTCCCTGTAACAGTTACAATTGAAATGATAACATTATATTTGATAATAACTAGTTTCTTTTTGTAACAAAAGCAAGCAAGAAAGGAAGTTGATTACTACTTGCGTATTTGTTGGGGGTGGCTGGGAAGTCGGTGATGAGACCGTTGATCCCTTTGGAAACATAGCTGTTGATCTCAAAGTAAGGGTCGGATAAGAAGTCCCAGGGTTGGGCCAGGAATTCGTTACGGAAGAGGCGCACGTAAACTGTGAGGTTCGACTTCTGCAGCCTCTCCACCAAGTCCGTCTCCCCAATCACAAAAAACGCGTCAGTCGGGTACACCGATCTCTTGGACACGATTACCGACCCAGCAAACCCGCGTATCTCCGAGATGGTCGACTCTGCCACGTCACTCACATCCTCGTCCACAACGTACACCATCTCGTACCTTTCACGGCTCATTTTCATCAGGACTGAGCTGTCGCTCGACTCAATAAGGACCCTCTTTGAGGTGGTCCCCTTCAGGGCGTCATTCACTGCATCAGTCACGCTTAAGCCCTGCTTCTCCGCTAGGTATGCTGCGTTCTGAGCACGAAATAATAATGCCATTAAAACAATATTACGAGAATTGTTTTCATTATAATGCATGAGTTGAAAAATAAAATAAAAAGGCTAACCTCGATGCTGATCATGACCCCGGACACAGACGATTGACTGTTTGCGAATGCCAGGAAATCGGATAGCTGCATCAACTTCCCATCATTTATTGCTCTTGGATTCCGGAATAGGCCAAACCCATCTTTATACGGACTCGAAATTTGAGCTGCAAATAACAAACAACAACAACAAAAAAAAAAGGACAACGGGAAATCAGTTTCTGCAGATATTAACTGCATGACTTCATGAATCAAATAAAATCAATCAGAATTAATGAGCAAGATGACACGGCCGTTCAATGACAATCATTGAAACAAAAGAATGAGAAGAGAAATGAAGATATGCCACAAAAGCACAGTTTCTTAGTTCTACGTACGTCTCAAGGTTTTAATTTCGGTCCATGTGAAATTATAGACGAAAAGTCCTCCCTTTATGCCCAGCTCATGATTATCAGCTGCTCGGTTCAAGTAAGGAGATTGAACAACATTTGTTCCGTTGAAGAGGTTGATGGATCCCAAGCAAATAGGCACTCCATCGTTCGTGATTTGAACAGGGCAGCGCAGTATATTTGCACCGTCAGATACAGCTTTTTCATATGCTACATCCGTACAACCGGGATAGTCTCCATTTGCTCCCTCGTTTGCAATAATCGTAAAGTTTGCTGACAAAGGCAAACAAGGATTTGCTAAGTACTAATGATGAAATCCAAAACAGTGAAAAAACTAAATGTGAGTGTTGTTCCTTACCAATAATAGTCTCGTTTCCGTTCATGTGTGAATAGCAATCTGCGAGAATTGAACACATTGAACTCACACAGTTAATAAGAAAAAAGAGATAAACTTTATAGTCAGTCGTTACATCAGAGAATGCTTACAACACATTGTTTCAAATACTCAAAATATTGGAAAAAAAGAAAAGATAAAGGTTGTTATTAATTTTTTTTTTTTTACCTATGGTTGCAGATGGGGTAAGCGGGAAGTCAGAAAGCACACCATCAACACAAAACACACCATTATCAATAAACGATAGGTACTCCGAAACAGGGTCGTAGCTGTAGTTATACGGTAATTGTGCATCATTTGCAAAACCAGACGCAAAAACCTCCAAACCCGCACGATGAGCATCCGACACGAGTGAGGTATAGTTCATTAAATACTGCTCTTTGTCCACTGCCCACACATAACTTTTCTGAACAACAATCCCATCAGCAAACTCTCTAATCTCCTCCAGATTGCTCAAAAACGAGGCGTACGTCCGGTTGGTCGTGGGCTCCGTTTCATTGGGACCCAAAAGCTGGAAAACGAGCTTTCTCCTTCCCACTCCTTTTCTGAGACGTGTCAGGAAGTCCACCTCCGGTGATGAAACATACTTAATACCAACCCCAGCTGATGTTTTGAGTAGATCCACAACATATTTACTCATGTTCAAACCATGCTGGGTGAAAAATTTGTCATACTGCACCAAAAATTATAATGAAATATTCGTCTGACAACGAGTTAGAGCGATTTTGTACTATGAGAAACAATTTGCTGTTACCGGTATATTCAACCATACTCCGGATGGTTGCGATGGCGATAGATCTATGAACTCATCAGGAGTCGTAATTTGCAGTCCACAGTAATCAAAATTTGGCGGCCGAGAATAAATCCCTTGTGTCACTGTTTGAATTACAAAAAAGACCAGTAAAAAGCAAAGCTCACGAGATTTTTTACGGCACAATAGGATGAAGTAGAGCAGACTTACAAGACACACTGCCAAGTTCCTCATAGTTAAAATCGACGGAAAAGAATCCTTTCGTCTGGACGCCATTGACAATGTAAGAGCTGCTCCTGTTAGGATACACGAAATCGATGTCTGACGAGTTTTGTAGCATGATATTGGGGAAGCAAATTCCATGATCGTCTTTCGTGAGCATCAAATCGCACGAAACGAGTAGATTCGGCAAACCGGATTGGACCGCAAGTGAATAAGCGACACTACTGGAGTCGGCAAATATACCGGAAAATCCACCATTGGCTATGACAAGGGGAGCAGAACCTGTTTAAAAAAGAAAAAAAAAAAATCAGAGAAAGGAAGAAGCTGAGTAAACAATGCATGAAATGCAATGAAAATGAAAATGCACATAACAAATACTACCGTGAAGCGTCTGCCACCTTCTCTTAGAACTCCGACCACCGGTTAAAGTTGTCGACGAGCAAAGCAGGACAAAACAGAACAGCCCAAAGACTGACCGGAACTTCCACATTTTCCGGCCGGTTAACTGAACTGAGCTAATTCCAGGTTTTGGTAAAAAAAAA